AGCTATTTAGCTAACTCTGAAACCACTGGACCAGGAAAGTAACATGATTTAGCAAAGGCAACAGGGTTGGAGTTGGAAGACCTGGCTGTCCTTCTGACGCTGCCCATTATAATTTGGATTTCTCTTTGGGTAAATTACTTAAACTCTCTGAGCATGGTCCCTTAAGAATCAAGCAAGGGTAAAATAGCTGGTCCAACCCTGAAAGAGATTCAATAGAATGAGATATACTATCTCAGATGTTACAAATTTGGTAAAGTCTCCAAAATACCATTTTAAGAACATTCTCAGGGATCAACCGAAGGACTTGTATACATGCATATAAGTACAACCAATGGACACAAAACTCTGGGGAGGGAGGATATGTACGGGGGGGGGGGGGGGAGCATTGGTATATGTACCAAAAAAAAAAAAAAAAAAAAGGAACATTCTCAGGACCAAATATAAACTGATTTGGAGATTCCAATGACCAACTGCCCTCCTTAATTAATATGTGGGGGCCAGAGAGACCTTATCTGGTACTGAACCATCAACCTCCACCCTCTCACTCTCTTCCTTTCCCTACAAGGATTCTTGGAAAAAATGACTTATAACTTCTATTTCCTTCTCACTAAAAGGCAAAGCAGTTTCTGCTTCTATTGTCCTTACTGAAATTTTAAATGGTAAGGGCATTAAATATTTCCTAATGGACAAACCCAAAGGGCACTTAAGTTCTTTTATGACAACACGTGAGTTCTTTTTTGGCTGTACTTTGAGGACTGGGGCCACGTCAGCTGGAGCAGTGCCAGCCACTGACACCTGTGCCAAAATGACAAGGAAGTCACAACTCTGTTTCCTGACCCAAAGTGTCCTTTTACTTATAAATAATAAACTTGCTTACTTGTTTAAGTGATAGGTGATAGATTTTCATTTTATTATCTGCAAACCCTTAAGAGGGAAAGCAAAACCACATGGTTTTAAATAGAGTTTAGATATTTAGGTAGAGATTAACAGGAGTAAGATATTAAGATCAGAACTTTATCTCGACAATTGAAACACAATTTAATGAATCCAAATACATTTAATATGTGCCAATCACAAAGGATGATAAATGTCAATTTCAGATAGATTTGTAGTCAAGCACTTGCACGACGTACATAATTTCATTATGTTTTATTTAGAAAACGTTAAATATAAAACAATTTCAACAAGAAATTTCATGTACAAAATTCTCAGACACTGTTTAAGAGGTACATTTTAGGAATCTCTGCCAGGTTTACTAATATTAGATGAAGTTCAAGAAAGTAGAAATTATATAAGACACTTTTTACAGAGGACAAGAGAATTATCTTAAAGGCCCGGTGCATGAAATTCGTGTACTTGGGGGAATCCCTCAGCCCAGCCTGTGCCCTTTCACAGTCCAGGAGCCCTCGGGGGATGTCTGCCTCAGAGGCGGGAGAGGCTCCCACCACCACCACTGCGCTCACCACTGAGCCTGGCTTCTGGCTGCTCCTTAGCGCTGCCTGATGTGGGGAGAGATGACAGTGTATCAGGAAATGGGCTTTTTGACAAGAAAAAAATATTCAAATCCATGCCTTCATGAGTGTCAGAATTTTTCACTAAGGCTCGTTTACTGAGCCCTTCTCTCAGTAGTGTGCTAGCAAATGTGTAACTGCCTCAGGGAGGAGAAAAACACCTGGTTATAGCACTGTTTGTATATAGGAGGCGACAGGGAGACTGGCTGATTTCTGTGGAGTAAAAACTCCCACATAGCTGGTTCTCAGTTACAAACATAAAGTCAACTAATACAGTGACTTGAAAAGAGATGTGCAGTGGCACATGATTGCTCCTTGTCCTATGACTCTGTTTTATTTGTTTTTTTACAGCACTTTTACCTTTTGCTCTTCTCTTGGTGAACTGTTTAGGTCTTTATTATCTGTTTTCCTTACAGGAATATAAACACCATAAAGGCAAGAACCTTGTCCATCCTGTTCTCTGTGTCCTCAGCAAATACAAAGTCAAAGTAAAAGAAAGATTCCCAAAATTAAGGAAACTGTAAAGTATAAAAAAGAAAGACTAATTCAAGCAAAATACTAACACTATCAATAACAGTAACCCTGCTCCTTTTGTTTGGAAAAAGAAAAAAAACGATGACCAGAACTACCAAATACTTAACCATAGCATTTGTGCTCAGACAATAAAAAAAATGGGCCAGGCACAGGCACTACCAAAGAAAGGACAACATTTACAACCCACGGCAGGCAATCTTATCATCCTTACCAATGCACAGGCAGTTATTTTATGGTTATAGGAAGGGAAACAAATAAGCCATATATGACCATTGGTTTATTAATTCAGCTTGCAAGCCCACCTTCCCCCACCTTGAATTTACCTTACCTGCGTTAATTAGCATCCGTAAACATTCTATAGAGTTGTGATAAGCTGCTTCATGAATTGGCATCCATCCCCTATTATCAGCAACATCAACGCTCCGTCCCTTTTTGAGCAGTTTTCTTAACACTTGAACATTGCCTTCCCTGGCAGCAAGTCCAACCGTAGAGCATGTGTCAGAGTAAGCCTCTGAAAAATCCATTCTTTTGACCAACCTACAAAACAAGGCAGAAAGAAAATACTAGCGTCAATAAAACACTGAACTCCTAGAGATTAGCAGATCGAAGTGGACCCGTCTAACAACCCTCACATGAGGAAGAGTCTGAGATGGAGAAAGAAGAAGAGTCTGAGATGGAGAAAGAGACCTGTCAAGCCAGAGCCTCTGCTAATCTAACCCAGGAAATCTCTCTGATGAATTGAGATTCCTTGGAATATTTTTATTAAAAACAGCAAGGGAATTGTAAGTGTTCTATCATTCCTTCTCTGGAAATGTTGCTTGAGCAGCTCCTTCCTGCAGGCTTCTGCACCTACTCATATTCCCACTAAAATGTACTCACTAGAACTCTGTTGATGAGAGAGAGCTAAATACCTCCAGTTAATCCCAAATGCATTCAGAGATGGCAATTTAGTGACCAGCAATGTTCAGCCTCAAGAATCCTACATAATGAAAGGTTAATATGCAAATTGTTCCCTCAGAAGTTTGACCAGGAGACCAGGAGTTTGTTCACTTGCTATGACATGCACTAACGACTAGGGTGCGGCAGGGACATGGCAGGTGGCCTGCAGCAACAGCAGCTGCGGTAGCGGCAGCCAGGGTGTTGAGGGAGTGAGGGAAGGAGGTGACAGGGAGACTGGGAGGCAGGGACACTACCTGTGCTTGAATTTCATGCACCAGGCCTCTAGTTAATTTATAGTCCTCTACAGCTAAAAGCTAAACCCAAAAAGGTTGGAAAAGAAGAAAAGAACATTGAAAAGAACAAGGAAATCTTCTTTTCCTGCCACAGGTGGTCCTTTGCAGAAGGGGCTAAATACTCAGGTCTCTTTCTTTGATAAAACAGTGCCATTAACTAAATATATTAAGACACATTAAAAGCATCAAAAAAAGATGAGTTCACCTTTCCTATACCAGCTCAGAAATTTCTTCACAGCATTATTGCTCTTTTCCTCATCATCTCCCTTCAAAGTTCATTTCAAGTCAATCCCCAATATAGTTCTCAATATATAACTCTCACAAAGACAATTTCTTGTTAGTCACCCTATGAGGTGGGTTGGGCCAAGATTCAGAATTCTCAAGGGAATATCTCCCAAGGGATAGTCCCTCTCGGTAACATTCTGACCCCATCTTTCTTCTTAGTGTTTCTAATGATATTGAGGGATAGTTCAGGAAATACCAACAACATGTCTAGTCTGATACACGTGAAAAACTTTCTAGAACCACATTATAAATAATTTATCAAGAAAAGAAAGATTTGAGAAAAGAGATTTAAAGAAAGAAAATATAAAAGGAATTGCTTATTCTTAAATTCAGCTTTTCTTTGTAGCAGTTTCCTGCTGATTTCTTAAGAGCAGAAATAACTCTTTGAACCTGGGTGTTTAGCAGTTTTAATAAAGCTAAAGACCATGAAAAAGAAATTCTCAACAAAGAACAATCATTTGGTAAGGCTTTTGTTTTCATAATCTGAAACACAGCTGTAATAGTCCAAGTGAGCTTCCTAAATAGTATTTTCAAACAGTATTACCAGTGTTACCAGCATATCGTTACACTTTTTAGGATCCTTGACCTGTTGGAAAAACTCATGAAAGATATAAAGTTTCTCCTCAGAAAAATACCCGTAGACCCCAAGTTTTGTATACAGTTTCAGGAGTTTCCCTAGATAGCTTCCAAAGCCTGTACCTGAGCTGAGAACCTTTGCCTACGCTTTTCTGAGCTGCTGAGAATACGAAAGACAAATAAGGTCGTTTTCACATAAAATTTAAATATATAAGCAAATTTCATTGCATTAATAATAGCTCTTTCACAAGCATTAAAAATTCTGTGATAAATTTCCTGCTTCAATTTGAAAGGTAAAGAGACAGGTAATTTTTAAAAGTGTAAAGTCAAATATGGATTACATTCCCAGTTTGCACTCTTCCGGCTGCTGTTAAATTGGCAGAAATCCCGTTTGCAAAGTAGAACAAAATGTCTTTCTACAATCTACATGCCAACTGCCATACTCTCCTGGGTATCTTAACCACACTGGCCAGGACTCCTGCCCTTTCCATTCTCCTTACCCAGCCCCGTTCGGGAAAAAAATTAAGACAGTTCCAACCTCAGAGGCACAACCCCCGAAAAGGATTGTGGGTATTGTAGTTCTCAGCACACGCGCACCAGAGGAAGGTCAAGCTGCAGGAGAATCTTGTTTAGCATACGGAAAGTCCAGCCTTCTTGCTCTCTAAGCAAGGAAATAAAAGAACACTGACCGAAAGAGAGCCAGAAAACGCACCTCGAACTTCAAGTCCCAGTGTGCCTTGCGCCACCAATCAGGGATTGCGGCTTGCCGGCGCCTGCGCCGAGCGCAGCCGGTAACGCGTCCCGCAAGCCGCAATCCAGACCCGTTCAGCCTCCACGGTTGCCGTCGAGGTGCTAGCGGAAAATGTGGGTTTTTGGTTACGGGTCCCTGATCTGGAAGGTGGACTTCCCCTATCAGGACAAGCTCGTCGGACGCATCACAGGCTACAGCCGGCGTTTCTGGCAAGGCAGCACAGACCACCGCGGAGTCCCAGGCAAGGTAAGCCCCTAGCCCGACCCCGAAACTCACTGTCCCCCCCCCCGGAGCGCTGCTCCCCGCCGGCTGCCCGCCGCCGCGGGCCCCGCACCCCAACGCTTCCCAGGGCCAAGCCTGTGGGTTAGGGATAATGCTGTTCCATCTGTGCTCCTTCCTCTGCCACCCGACTCCAACCTTTCCCAAACCTAGGGTACTCCTTCCGAAGCTACTCGGAAGGCTGGTGGTTAGCTTCCTGAGCAGCAAGAAACATGGGCACAAGCACACAGGCTCGCCCAAGGCTGACGTGCTGGCAGGGGCCCTATCTTGGCAACTTCTGCCCCCAAAAAAGGCGGGAATATCAATCTTTGAGTCACCACGGAGTTGAAATACTAAAGTCAACTTGGAAATTCAGCTTTCTGGCCATTAAATTTGTTGGTATTTCTGCACTTTGACAGGCTTTCATTGGTTTGAATTTAAACGTATATGTTATTTCTGCGGTTTCTTTGTACCTTTTCAAAGATTTATTTTATGACACCTACGATCACAGGAGAACTCGTTTCCAAAATTACTTTGGGTTATTAAGAAACTTACTTTGACCACTTTGGTTACACGTTAAATGAGTTCCCCGTTTATTATTTGAGTTAACACAGTATCCATTAATATGTCAGCATTATTTTAATGTTTCTGGATGGTTCTTCTCTAAATTATAAATGTGAAATATAAGTTCTTTGATCTGTTTTTCAGTTAGTCATGCAGACACTCATCTCATATTTGTACAGAAAAATAGTAGTAGCTCACTGCTTAGGAAATCAGCCTCGTGCTGGTTGAAAACAACTGATCCGTAAGGAACACTGAATTTGAGTAACAATGTGGATAACTTGAACAGTTGTTTTAACTAACTTCCTAACTTTTGGAAGAGCACAATAATTTTTATTGCTTATATTTTCTTTAAAATGTTTTGAAAGTTGTAATAGCTTGATTATTGGTTTTCTTCTTTTTCCCATTTCCTTCCCGTTGCTGCCATCATTACACTCTTGTCTGTGTCTGTGGGTTATGCATATATGTTCTTTGGCTAATCCCCTCACCTTTTTGCATCCTGTTCCCCTTTCCTCTCCCTTCTCCCCTCTGACAACTGCCAGTCCATTCCATGTATCCATGCCTGTCTCTATTTTGTCCCTCAGCTTATTTTGTTTATTAAATTCCACATTTAAGTGAGATCTTATGGTATTTGTCTTTCTCTGAGTGGCTTATTTCACATAACATAATCTGATATATAATAAAATACTCTGAAAGTTATTTGAGCTTGATTACGTTTTTTTTTTGTTTTTTTTGTTTTTTTAAGAAATTAATATTAGCCGAAACCAGTTTGGCTCAATGGATAGAGCATCGGCTTGGGGACTGAAAGGTCCCAGGTTCGATTCCGGTCAAGGGCATGTACCTTGGTTGTGGGCATATCCCCAGTAGGGGGTGTGCAAGAGGCAGCGGATCCATGACTCTCTCTCATCGATATTTCTAACTATCTCTCTCCCTTCCTCTCTGTACAAAATCAATAAAATATATTTTTTTTAAAGAAATTAATATTGGCCCAAAAGCATGATATCTAAAGTGTTAGAAATTAGGTGCAGAAAGAAATTGGGGTTAATTCCAAAGAAATACCTACAGTCCTAGAAAGAGGGGCCGAAGGGGGCCTATAGTAGCTTGCACCAGTAAAGAGACATAGGATTAAAATCACAAAAAGAGCTTCAGTTAGAAGTCATTTTACCTCAACTAGAGTTGGTTAATTAAGAATTTGACTTCAGCTGAAACCGGTTTGACTCAATGGATAGAGCATCGGCTTGGGGACTGAAAGGTCCCGGGTTCGATTCCGGTCAAGGGCATGTACCTTGGTTGCGGGCATATCCCCAGTGGGGGGTGTGCAAGAGGCAGCTGATTGATGGCTCGCTCATCGGTGTTTCTAACTCTATCTCTCTCCCTTCCTCTCTGTACAAAATCAATAAAAATATATTTTTAAAAAATTTTTGATTTCAAGGTAGATGACTGAAAACAGGAGAGTAACTTAGAGCAAATGCATATATTATAAGCCAACAGAAACTTCATGGCCAAAGTATCGCCAAGAATGCTATAAAACAATATTTAATACTTTAAAGAACTAAGTTAAATAAAATACCGATTGAGTGGTCAGATAGGAAAGTTTAAAATTGCCATTCTGGCCGAGACCGGTTTGGCTCAATGGATAGAGCGTCGGCTTGGGGACTGAAGGGTCCCGAGTTCGATTCCGGTCAAGGGCATGTACCTTGGTTGCAGGCATATCCCCAGTGGGGGGTGTGCAAGAGGCAGCTGATCGATGACTCACTCTCATCAATGTTTCTAACTCCCTGTCTCTCTCCCTTCCTCTCTGTACAAAATCAATAAAAATATATTTAAAATTGCCATTCTGAAAAGGAAAGCCCTAGCCTTGGCTCTAATTTTAATGACCAAATATTAAATAATTACAAGTAAGCTCAGCAGGCCTTGCTCAGTAGTTGAGGACTTATGAATCAGGAGTCACAGTTTGATGCCCAGTCAGTGCACATGCCCAAGTTCAGGGTTCAATCCACATTCGGTGTGTGCAAGAGGCAGCCAATTGATGATTCTCTCTCCCTTCTCTGAAATAAGTTTAAAAATATATTTAATAAATAAATATTTACAACTAAGGTTTAATAGCATATTTTATTATAGTCAACCAAATGTTATTGTTTGTTACATAACACATTGAGATATGTACACTGTGAGAATAGACTGGTAAGAAATTATCAAGTTAATACAACATGGTTCTTTAGAAGACAGCCATAAAAGCCAGTATCTCTCTTTTTAATTAAATTTAATGAAAGATAAGTCAGGAAAGTCAGGAGGGAGGGAATAATTGCAATAACTTTAAAAACTGTAATAGTTTTACACCTACTTCTATTTAAATAACTACCATAGAAAACTAAAGGAGAGTCTAAGTAAGTACTAAGCATTTCTTAAAATATATTTTTATTGATTTCAGAGAGGAAGGGAGAGGGAGAGAGAGAGAGATAGAAACATCAGTGATGAGAGAGAATCATTGATCGGCTGCCTCCTCCACACCCCCTACTGGGGATGGAACCCACAACCCAGGCATATGTGCTTGACCAGAATCGAACCCCAGACCCTTCAGTCCGTAGGCCAATGTTCTATCCACTGAGCCAGGACCATTTTGGGCAGTACTAAGTATTTTCTAAGTATGCTGTTCTACTTTAAAAAACTGGAAAAAACATTATTATTCACTTCACATTTTTCTTAACAGTGGATCACCAACCTTATATAAATATTAACTGCCTGACAAATCATATAAAACCTTATAGAAGTACCCATCAAATCAAAATAACATAATTGCTACATAGGAGTATGATTTTTACAGCAACATGTGCTCCTAGTCAGTCATCATTCCGTATGAAATGTATTATTTTTAAACAAATGTTAGACTTATTTCTACACTAGTGGCCCAGTGCACAGATCCATGCACATTGAAAGGAAATTAATTAGAAGAAATATTTTAATATCAGGCTCCCTCCTCTCTGGTTCCAGAGTGTATCACCCGAGAACCACCAGTCAAGTTGCTGCAGCTCAGCAGTTCCTGCTTTGAGCACCTGCCCCCTGGTGGTCAGTGTGTCATATGTACCAGACAGTCAGATGGTCACTTAGCCTTTTATATATATAGATTCTGCAAAGTGCTATTTACATTATGAAATTGTGCTTTCTTTTGGCTTCACTTAATTTTTTAACTAAGTTTAATCGAGCATCTATTTTATATATTAAAAAACTGGCCATTTCTCAACCAAATGAAAATTTATTTAAATGTGAAATTTTCTTCACATCAGATAAAATTTCAATTTCAAAAAAAAAAGGAAACATTTTAGCACAAGATAATTGTGAACATTTATTAAATCACTAACTTTTCTAGATCAGCCTTAGTTATGGTGTGTTTTTTAATATCTCCATTGTAAGTCAACATAATATTGTATTTAACTAATATATGCAAGTTGAAGGGAATAGCTTATAAAGGCCAAGATAGTTTGGATAAAGCAGATTCTCTTAATTCATACTTTAAAAGTTGTCATAAAACATAAGAGCTTTATTAAAAAGTGTCTATTATGAGCAAATGAAGTTTAAATATCCCATGTCAACGATAATTTGCTAATGCTTGGTTAGTTGATGAACTTTTATTAAGAGAAAAAAATACGTGTTTTACTTATTTGTTTTTTGTGTTTTTCTTTTTACTTTTTTTTAAAAAACAGCCTGGAAGAGTTGTGACTCTTATTGAAGATCCTGGGGTATAGTATTCATTTTTTTGTATAGTCTAGTTACATAAGTTGTTGAGATGTTTCTCAATTTTAAATGAAATTGTACTGACAATCGTTACAATTTCAACTGCACTAGATCTAGAATTCCTCTTTATTCATCTGTTGAAAAAAGTTGGATGCAGAATGCAAGGTACACAACAAAAGAAAAACAAATGGCATGTGGTCTCATTTTTTTTTTCTTAATGAGTTTGTTGATTGAGAATTTTGTGATCCTCTTTTACATGAATGGAGCCAGCCCAACTACCATTAAGAATGAAATGGACCCCTTAAAGCTCTCCTCACATTTGCTAGGAGTCTAATACAGGGAGTCCCCTAAAAAAATGTATACATACTCTAACAGCTGATAGCTCACTTCTGAAAATGAAATATGTTTTAATAAACCCTGCCTTTATAATTATTCAAAATATGCATATACATTTTTAGGGTACACTCTATATTTCCAGCAAAAACCCCAGGCAGGAATTACTGCTTTCTTTATTGTCTAAAATTATCAACAGCACAACAAGTTTTTTAACAGTTTTGGAGCACTAGGAAACCTTTATTTACTCAATAGTCCTTTTCAGTCATTTTATTGAGGTATAGGTTAAGTTTAATAATGTAAAATTAAAGATTTACCTGTGGAAAGGACTTTGACATACAAATATCAGCCCCTAGCAACAGCAGATGACTAATGGTAAAATTATGAGATGCTTTCATAATTTATATTAGGAATGGTATCGGTAAAAAGGCTTTAAACTAGTAACTATAAATCTTAATTAAAGTTAATAAATGATACTTTGTTTGTATAAAATGTTAATTCATTCAAGAGGATGCTTAGCAAGCTAAAGTTTAATAAAAACGCTCAAGAAGATAGAAAATCTGTATTACAAAATGTAAATGTTACATTTCACAGATATTTTATTTATAGCAAAAAATATTAACAGCTAAAATAGATTATTTTTACTGACACTTTGTTCATGGGCTCTCTTGACAAAAGAAGTTGTTATGTAGTATTCTCAAAGAAGTAATTTACAAAGGATACTTGCAAGTTTAGGCAGTGAAGAGATGAATAAATAAACTGCTTATCCTTAAGTAGTTTTTTTTAGGGGGGAAAGAGGGGGAACACCTAATATGTAAAAAGATGAGTGATGCTCAGCTCCTAGTACCCCTACCCCAGCACCCCAACACTCATATCCAAGAGCCTCTGAGGTAGGCTTCAGGGTGGCTTTAACACTCCATGCAGCAGTTTGAAAACCACTGCCCTACCATCAGTGAAATGCTTATGGATTTAAAGCTTCAGAACCTCAGTCGTAATGACCAAATGAAGACCTGATCTTTTTTCATTTCAGTCTCGTTAGATAAAAAACATATTTTCAAAAATTTAAAGATAATTATCCTGGTGTGCTAGGAAATGTTTTCAGACTGAAGAATTTAAAATCATTTCCTTTATTGTTTAGTATGTACCTCTTTGATGTACTAAGTAAACTGCATTGATTTCTAAGAATAGACAACTTTTCTTACATCACAATGTACTTCCACCTACTTTACCTTGTAAATACTAAATAATATATCCTTTTCATTTTTCAATAGGGTTGTGTATGGGGTGTTGCTTACAGACTGCCAGCAGGAAAGGAAGAAGAAGTAAAAGCATACCTTGACTTCAGAGAGAAAGGAGGCTACAGGACCACAACAGTCATTTTTTATCCAAAAGATCCCACTACAAAACCATTCAATGTGTTGCTATATATTGGAACACATGACAATCCAAATTACCTCGGTCCTGCACCTCTGGAAGATATTGCTGAACAAATCTTTAATGCAGCTGGTCCAAGTGGAAGAAATACAGAATACCTTTTTGAACTTGCAAGTTCTATTAGGAATCTTGTGCCAGAAGATGCAGATGAGCATCTTTTCTCTTTGGAAAAATTAGTAAAAGAACGTTTAGAAGGAAAACAGAACCTCGACTGCTTATAAAGAAATAATCATTGACTTTTCCAGAGAAGCAGAACTTTTAGTCTTCAAGAATAGTTGCACTGCACAATGACAATATGATTTGGAAACATATTTACTTGAAGATCTTATTTTTAATGTTGTAGTCAAGATATCATCAAAATTTATAGTTAATTCCAAGTGTCCTGAAATACATATATATTCAAAGTATAGGGTATAGTTCAAGAAAAAAAATGTAATTTTTAATAATATAATGATCTCCTAACTGTATATTGAACACTTGATCATGAGAAGTGAGTTCTGTAGAAAAATGCAAGAAATTTCAGAGCTTGTTTTTTAATCAGAGTAAAAATAATTTTATTGTTTCATATCACAATACTATTTTGAAGTGGTAGAGAATTAAATCGAAAGTCTAATAAATATAATAAGATATACCTTCAATATATTCCTATGCAATAATTCTGTTACCATGGTTTAAAATATAAAAGCTTTAAATAGTGTAATTAGAAACGTATAGTAACTAGAGGCCCAGTGCACAAAGTTCATGCACTAGAAGGGGGGGGGTGCCCTCAGCCTGGTCTGCGCCCTCTCACACTCCAGGAGCCCTCGGGATGTCCGACTACAGGCTTAGGCCCACTTGGACATCCCTCTCGCAGTCCAGGAGCCCTCGCCCTGCCCACTGCTCCTTAGCACTCAGCTCACTGCTCCTTAGCGCTGCTGCAGAGGCAGGAGAGGCTTCTGCCACTGCCGCTGCGCTCACCAGCCGTGAGCCCAGCTTCTGGCTGAGCTGCGCTCCCCCTGTGGAAGCACCCTGCGTTGAGTATCTGCCTCCTGGTGGTCAGTGTGCATCATAGCAACCAGTCATTCTGGTTGTTCCGCCTTAAAGGTCACTTGGGTTTTTATTATATAGATATAGATAAGATTTCAGCTTTGATTAGAAATTTTCTTGTTCAGTTAGTAAATAATATCCCTTCCAATTTAAGCTTCCCCCAAATTAGCATGTTTATTATAAAAGTTTCCTATACATCTACTTTTTTTAATAAATGCATTTTACTACATGGAAAAAAACTCATTCAGTTAAACTCAAATTACTTAATATAAATCCACTAACAATGTAGTCTGTCATTCACTTTATATTAATCTTATAGTAAAATTTTTAAAAGATGGATTTTCCATTATTATAAATTAACATACATATTAAGTAAAAGTTTGGTGATTTTAAGGTCTTTCATAATTATAAAATTGTTTTAAGTTAAAAAAAAATGGCATTTTTAGGGAATTTTTAAAAACAGATGATTCTACTTCTATTCCAGGCCAATCATTTGCTATACAGATTTTTTACCCTTCTAATCTTGTCACTTAAACAAAGGCTTCTGCTGAATTAGTGTTGATGGTGCCACTAAGCAGAAAATGTATAATAATAATATATATTATTAATTCATGTAGAGTTAGCCTTGATTCAAACTCATCAGATTATTTCTTTCTCAAAAGGATATAGTCTCTCTAGAAAGCTTTCAATATGAAAAGAATTTCAGTATCACATGAAATCTAATACGAAGCAGTAAAAATTATTTCAAACCAGACATGACTAATAGTACAGAATAAAAATAAAGCTGTCCTGTGTGGTGATTGTGGAAAGTGGGGGAGTAGAGTGGAGGGGCAAGAGGGCTTAGAGCACATGTGTCAAACACAAGGCCCGCGGGCCAAATCCGTCCCGCCAGGCCTTGCAATGTGGCCCGCACCTCGCTGTCATCACTGCACTCCGCTGAGTTTCCATCACAATGACAGTTTATGACTGTTCAGTAAACCATTCGGCCCGCGATTTAGGCTGGATTTTAGATTTTGGCCCCTTCTCTGATTGAGTTCAGCACCCCTAGCTTAGAGGGTATAAATGGTGATGGAAAAAATAAAAAAGAAAAGCTTTCTGGAGGAGACATAAATAAATATGAAAACAAAAATAAATCTGTCCTACATAGTAGGAACAGTAGTCCTTTTCACGTTTTTCTATTAACACTTTTCTTGGTAATTTACTCAGCTATATAGCTTTTTAAAAATATATTATTGATTTTTTTTACAAAGAGGAAGGGAGAAGAATAGAGAGAAACATCGATAAGAGAGAAACATCGATCAGCTGTCTCCAGCACACCTCCTACCGGGGATGTGCCCGCAACCAAGGTAAGTGCCCTTGACCAGAATCAAACCTGGGACCACCTTTCAGTCCGCAGGCTAATGCTCTATCCGCTGAGCCAAACTGGTTTCGGCCAGCTATATAGCTTTTAAATATTTTCCAACACTTTCAATATTATTGTTCCAGAAGGCATTTCATTTGTCCTGTACAAGAAAAGTACTGACATTCACTAATGAGTATGGCATAAGGATATATTGCACGTACATATGAAAGCATTTTCTCGGTAACACCTCTAAACTTGTTCCCAGAATAAATAACTTGCATACAGTTACACATCTAATAAGTAGCAGAAATTCAGGTTTCTTTGACTCAAGTACAAGATCTTTCTACAATATATTTTAAAAACCATCTGAACTTAACCATCTTAACTACCCTGCATTTTTTTCTTCAGGAGGTAAATAAGATTAATGTTTTACATAATGAAATAGTACACAACTTATGACATAAAGATGCTAGTGTTAATTTTGATATATATAGAGATTCCAACAAATATAATGAGCCTATCCAAGATTCACATGCTATAGCTCACAATCACATAGATGAATTCAAAGATCCAGCCTTTTATTTTACAAGGTTGGATCCAAAGAAGTTTGACTCCCCAGTGATTCTTCTATCACTTAATACATAACAGAATATCAAGGGGGATGAATTACTTTGTGATCATTTAAATGCCTTTCTAACTTAGGAATTAGACGAATCCTGGCTCGGTTGAGTGTTGTCCTGTGCATCAAAAGGTTGTTGGTTCAATTCCCAGTCAGGGCACAAGGCTGGGTTGCAAACTAATACCAAGTAGGGCGTGTACAGGAGCAGGCAATGGGTGTCCCACTCTCACATCGATGTTTCTCTCCCCCTCACCCTTCCTCACTCTCTAAAAATCAATAAAACTATTTTTTTAAAAAGTTAGACAAGAAAATATGTAAACATACATGTGGCATGCCATCAACATTAATAGGGAGGCGCTGTTCCAAAAGGCCCAGGAACAGGGATATTCATTTTCACTGAGATGGAGAGAAACAACTAAAGAGGGAAGTTAAACAGTACTGAATTAGAGAGAAGCTAGGGTTTGGAGCCTCCAAATCAGCAAAAATCATAACAAAGGTGCCAATTACCTAGAGCTTACTTTTGTTAGCAAAACTAAGTATCTCTTGCCAAAACCAGTTTGGCTCAGTGGATAGAGCGTCGGCCTGCAGACTTGAAAGGTCCCAGGTTTGATTCCAGTCTAAGGGCATGTACGTTGGTTGTGAGCACATCCCCAGTGAGGGGTGTGCAAGAAGCAGCTGATCGATGTTTCTCTCTCATCGATGTTTCTAACTCTATTCTTCTCCCTTTCTCTCTGTAAAAAATCAATAAAATATATATATTTTTTAAAAATACTAAGTATCTCTTTACTGGCCTTGGAACTCATTTTCAAAACATTTTCTCTCATTGTGACGTATTCTCACACAGAACTCAGGCTCTCATTTCTCATAATACAAAGAGTTAGGTGTAACGTATTAGGAATTCAAGTATGAGTATAAACCCTCCATTGAGAGAAGGCACTTGTAATATAAATCTCTAATTGAGTGGAATTTTTAAAATAGGTGTTTCTACTCCTGCTCCAGGCCAATCTTAAATTTCCTTTTCCCACTCCCAAACAACACAGTAACTGTTCAATCTACCAAGAACTATAAATAAGTATAATTTTATAAATACCACCTCCACACAAAAAGTTTATCACCCTAGATGGTGTGGCTCAGTGGTTGAGTGTCAATACATACACAAGAGGTTAGTGGTTTAATTCTTAGGGCACATGCCCAGGTTGTGGGCTTGACCCCCTGTAGGGGGCATGCAAGAGACAAGCTCTTTAATGGATGTTTATCTTTAATGGATGTTTCTACCTCTCCTCCCTTTCTCTCTAAAATCAATACCAATAAAAACATTTTAAAAGTTTATCATTTAGGGAAACAAAGATTGTTGTACTGTCAACTTTGAATACTTTAAAGCATGAATGTGATCCATTTCTTTTAGACTGATTTTAAAAGTTTGACTACTGATTTAAAAGCATGCTATTAAACAATGATTAGGTTACCAAAGATATCAATATCAACGAAGAAATAAAAAGCATCCTGGAATCAACTGACAATGAAAACACACCAATCCAAAATCTATGGGACACAGTGAAAACAGTCCTGAAAAGGAAGCTCATACCTCTACAGGCCCACCTAAAAAAAAAAAAAAAAAACAAACAAAAAACAAACAAAAAAAAACAAGAAAAATGGAAATAAATTATCTAGCCCTGCAACTTAAAGAATTAGAAAGAGAGCAACAAGAAAAGCCCAGAGTAAGCAGAAGGAAGGAAATAATAAAGATCAGAGCAGAAATAAACAACATAGAGGGAAAAAAAGAAATTCAAAGATCAATAAAACCTAGAGTTGGTTGTTTTTTTTAAAATATATTTTATTGATTTTACACAGAAAGGAACTGAGAGGGATAGAGAGAGTTAGAAACGTTGATGAGAGAGAAACATCAACCAGCTGCCTCTTGCACACCCCAAGCTGGGTCTGTGCCCGCAACCAAGGTACATGCTCTTGACAGGATTCGAACCTGGGACCTTTCAGTCTGCAAGCTGATGCTCTATCCACTGAGTCAAACCGGTTTCGGCTAGAGTTGGTTCTTTAAAAGTATAAACAAGATTGATGAACCTCTAGCCAGGCTCACCAAGAAACAGAGAGAGAACCCAAACAAACAAAATCAGAAATGAAAGAGGTGAAGCAACAACCGACCCTCTCCCCCCACCCCAATATATACGAAGGATTGTAAAATAACACTACAAACAGCTCTACTCCAACAAACTGGACAACCTTGACGAAATGGGCATATTCCTAGAAAAATACAAGCTTCCAAAACTCAATCAGGAAGAATCAAGATTTGGAAACAGCCTAAGTGCCCATCAGCAGATGAGTGGATTAAAAAACGGTGATACGTCTATACAATGGAATACTATGCTGCAGTAAAAAAGAAGGAATTCTTACCATTTGCAAGATGGAACTAGAGAGCATTATGCTAAGGGAAAGTTGGAGAAAGAAATTATCTCACTCATTTGTGGAATATAATAAACAACATAAACTGTTGTTAATGAACAAAATTAGAACCAGAGACATAGAAGCATGGAACCGACTGTCCAACCTATGAGGGAAGTCGAGGGATGAAGGGGTAAGAGATCAACCAAAGGACTTTATGCATGCATATGAGCATAACCAATGGACACAGACAGTAGGGGGGTGAGGGCATATGCTGGGGGGTGGGGACAGCCCGAGTAAGGTCAATGGGGAAAAAGGAGACTCAAGTAATACTTTAAACAATAAAGAATTAATAATAATAATAATAATAATAATAATAATAAGTAAATAAATAAACTACTCTTCCTGCTTTGTGATTTGGTTCAAATTCGGGATTGGGGGGAGAAACAGGCTTTAGCATATCTAGAAACAGATTTACTAGCTTTTCCCACCACAGAAAGACAGTGACAGGTGCCCTCTGGCTAACACTATGTGAAATTAAAACGGCATTTTTTTAAAAGGAGGTGCAAGAGACCTAAACTTCATGTCTTATTTTGAATGCAGGCAGAAGCGTCTTTAACCTCGTGTGATTCATATCCTCACATTCACTTGGCCCTGAAACCTCACATAAGGAAACTTAGCTTCATTGATAGAAACAACAATCCAACATTTCATCAATGGGCCAAAACCAGTTTGGCTCAGTGGATAGAGTGTCAGCCTGCGGACTGAAGGGTCCCCGGTTCGATTCCAGTCAAGGGCATGTACCTTGGTTGCGGGCACATTCCCAGTGGGGGGTATGCAGGAGGCAGCTGATGGATGACTCTCTCTCATGGATGTTTCTAACTCTCTATCCCTCTCTCTTCCTCTCTGTAAAAAATCAATAAAATATATATATTTTTTTAAAAACAAACAAACAAACATGTCATCTATGGAATGGAGGAGCCTCACGTGGGATAAAAAAATAAAATAAAATAAAAAATGTAGAGACAGCGATACCCAGCTGCCCTCCCCATGAGGAGAGGCTGGTCCATGCCAACCTCGGAGGACTTCCGGTGTTCTCAAACTGTGACAGGTTCCCTCAGCGAGGGCATCCCTCACCCAGGGCGGCAGGGGCTGAGCAAACTGCCCGCGGTAATTGGCAGAGGACGGAGGACCGCCGCCCGCCGCCCGCCGCCCGCCGCGGAAGAGGCGCAGAGAAGCCTCCCTCGGGAAGAGGAAGCGTGCAGATGCCAGGCGCGGAGACGGGGAAAGAAAAGCAGCGAGAGGGATGAGCCACCGAGAACACCGTCCCTTCTCCCTCGCCACCACTTCCAGTTTTCTCGTCTGAACACCAGACGCGGCCCGCTCACACGACCCCCGCGCCCGTGCGGGTCAAACTGCTGCCCGCGCCGGACAGCCGCGCGGGAAGGGCGGGCGGGCGCGACCACCGCCTCCCGGACTCACCGGTTCTCTGTGCCGTCACTTCTCCGCCCAAAAGACTGGTCCGAGGCCCGGTCTACAGGCGTTCCCCTCCGGGGGAAGCCGCTGGGTTCGATTCCCCTCCCCGCGACACTGCGGCGGTGAGAAACCAGCAAAGCCCAGCCGCCGTCCCGGCTTCCGTAGCGGACTGCTCGGTGACCCCGGATGTTGATACTCCGCCTGCCCCGGAAGAGGTTGGCGGGTGGGCCCTCCGGGCAGGGGCGGCGTAGCCCGGCTCTCCGGAAGGAGACGTGGCGGCGGCGGTTGGGCCCTGGGCTGCCTGGGCGCTTAAGTAGTCCCGCCGCCTCCTCCTCCTCCTCCTCCCCTCCTCTCCGCTGTGGCAGAGGAGGCTGTGTTGGCGGCTGGGGAAGGCGGCGGCGGAGGATGGAGGAAGGAGGCGGCGGCGGCGGCGCGCGGAGTCTGGCCCCGGGCGGGCCGGTGCTGTTGGTCCTCTGCGGCCTCCTAGAGGCGTCCGGCGGCGCCCGAGCGCTCCCCCAACTCAGCGATGACATCCCTTTCCGAGTCAACTGGCCCGGCACCGAGTTCTCTCTGGTCAGTGCCCTCGCGAGTCCGTAGCCATCTCTCGCTTCCTCCCGGCGTTCAGGGTTCGGCCCCCTTCTTCCCTCGGTATAGTCTACGCTTGTTTCTCCTAGAGCCACCTGTGCAGGCGCATGCCTCCTTCTCCCCCCTCCACAACGCATTCATTCATTCATTCACTCGTACAGCAAGTGTTTCTCCAACACGTCGGGATGTGGATGTGCCCTCCATGCTGAGCCTCGGGGATCCAGCGGTCAGCTGATCACTTTTTCAATCTGTCTCCCTCTACTAGACTCGCTTTACCCACACTCCCTCTCCGGGGAGGACGTCTCCCTAGAACCACATCAGGAGTGCGCACCTTCTCTTCTCTTTGGGAAGTCACTGCTGCAGCTGTTGCACACCGCCCTGCCCCTGGTTACTGCAGAGAGGAGTTCCCCCTCTCATTCACCTTCGTTCTTCTCTCTTTTATGCGCACACGTCCATATGTGCACAGCTCGTTTCCCTTCAAAGCTGCCTTTGAGATGGCAGTTTGGCTCAATGCAGAATGTCCTTTACAGTCTTGATGCATTACGACTGTCCATTAAGATCCCAGAACGTGAGATTTTTATGACCAGTTTTCCAATAACGAACATACATATAACCTCACCGTAATGAAATTCTGCAGTCCTTCTCTTTGGGGAGTGATTGCTGAAAAGTCTTCCTATCCACTGTAAGCCAGTAAAAATGGTGCTTTTCTGATACTTACCCTGTAGTGATTGACTCATTTGTTTCAAACTGAAGTCCTTGGAAATGGAAAACATTAAAAATTTTTGTTCCATTTGCCTATAGTCATTCCACTTGGGAAAACTGTTTTAGGATATTGTCCTATTACTATTTCATTGAAACAAGATGTAAATGGAGAAAGGATGTCATCATTGCCGCAACAAGTTTCTATTTGCAAATGTTAGTTTTTGCTAATATTTCACACCTGCTTTATTCTCCACCCCCAATTTTCAGTTCTCTTATTCTGGCAGTTCAAATTTATCTGAGTAAATATTTGTCTGGGAAGCCAGGCTTATCTTTCGGTTAATGCCATGAAATATAGGGTGGGGCAAAAGTAGATTTACAGTTGTAAGTATACAGAACAGAGTTTATTCTTCTATAATTATTAATTATTGTATTCTTTTCCATAGGAACAACTATGAACCTCATTTTGCCTCACCCTGTATTGATAATATACAAGTTATAAGTCAGATATAACTTCAGCAGGGTTGGGGTTATTGTTTCCAGACAGCACACTTGTAAGGAACATGACAAATGTTTAAAGAATTTGGTCATTAAAATATTTTACTCTTGCACCTGTGTTGTTGTGTGTTTTTTTTCTTTAATTTAAAAATTCATGCTGATATATGGCCCTACCAAACTTACCAATTTATAAATGGATGATTTAAATTATCCTTTTTAGAGGTTACTACCAAATTATTCAGTTTTCTTTCTGGCCCTGCTGTTTACTAACTAGGAAGAGGAAATGCTATACCAACCTTTCACATATCTGTCAATTGTATTTTTTAATTTTTATTTTATTTTATTTATTTATTTATTTATTTATTTTTTTTTTTGCAAAGTATAATCTAAGATGGGAGCAGTTGAAGATTTGGGGAGACTTTTTTTGTCTTTTTTTTTTTAAGTTTGAGTTACTTTCAGAAAAATCTAGATAGGTTTTTTTCTATGAGTTGGCAAAAGGTCTGTAGCCCTCAGGCAAAAATAAGCCCCAAGAGACATCATTGATCTTTTAAGTTTTTTTTAAAATATTTTTATAGTCTTAAGGCTTTCCTACTTATATAATTGAAGCTGCAGCCTTCCTCACCTGGCATTGTCATTTTTTTTTTATGGGCCAGTTGGTTGGACAATTGTGTAAAACTAAGCAGCTGCAGGAAGTAGGGAGAGGGCCTTAATCTCTCTGCCATCTAAAATTGGAAGGGACTGGATTAGATCCGGATTTCTTTTAGGTCTAAAAGTATTTTGTGCTTTAAATTGTCATCCCATTCATATATATCAAGAGATATATAATTATTACAATCTTCCAAATTTATTTGGAAAAAGTATTAAACAGCAAAAATTTGTAAATTTTTAAATGTTTAATTAATATATTCTTTATTTTTTTGCATTAAATTTTTTAATGTATATATTTTCCTTCTGAAATATCACTTCTAAGTCATTAAAGTGTTCAATTATTACTTCACAGAGTTCATGGATTTCAAAATAAAACTACAAAATAAGTGTAATTTTCTCTACTTCTGTTGTTGATATAGAAATGTATTCCCGCTCAAAAACTTTCCTCAAACACTGCACTTTGGAAGAGTGGTGACCTACTCCATGGTAGCATGTTATACATGTTGACAAGTTGTGCCACTGACTTTATTTTATAGCCTCTTTCGGATAGTTCTGTCTCTCATTCTTAATCTTAATTCCTCCAGATTCATGTCAAACATGAGGGATTTCTCCCATGTCTAGATATTTGTATGTAAAGTTCTTTAACCTTAAAGTACCAAGCCCATTTGTTTATTGTCATTATTTTAAAATCTGATTTTTGTCAAGTCACTAATATCACCTGTTACAATGAAAATAAGGTTTAAGTTACATAAAACAAGTTTTTTACACCATCTGTAATTCTATACATGCAAAATTTATTATATTTTATTTGCTTAAATTAAGAGCCTATTTTATAAAATCAGAAGGAAGCATTTTAGTAGTAGATCGAAAAAAAAATTAACTTAGAAATTTGCAAAAGTTTTTAAGATGTTACTTTTTCCCAGTAATTTCCATTACAAAAAAGGGTAGAGTTTGTTACAAATTTTTCTTTATCATACCAATAAGTGACTCTGTTCAGTAAAGAATTTTCAGATATAAGAATTTCTTCTTGATCTGTTTTATTGATGAGGAAAGCAGCCTTTCCTGAACTAATAAAAGACAAATCTTTGCATCTTCACACAAACTAGCAATGGCTCCTATTTTTTGTATGTTTTGCTTTTGTTTTGTTTTGTTTTGTTTTGTTTCTGATTTCAGAGAGGAAGAGAGAATGAGAGAGAAATGGAAAAGTCCGTGAGAGAGAAACATCAATTGGCTGCCTCCTATATGCCTTCTACTGGGGATCGAACTTGAGACCTGGGCAGGGGCCCTATTGGGAATGGAACAGGTGTCCTCGGTGCATGGGGCGATATTCAATCCACTGAGCCAAACCACATGGCAAACAGTTCCTTTTTCCATTGTTAGCATTGTGATGAACATGTCAGCAAATAAGTTGATATTGCTGTAGAATTCAACTCTGAACATTAGAGCTGCAGATACTTCACAAGTAAAGGTGGATACGTGCTAATATCTGCCTTCATTACAGTACAGCAATGATTCTACAATAATTCAGACCATCCATTGTTAAGAAATGTGAGTCATGTTTGAAGAACTCACTATCATGTGTTTTGAATATTGTAAAACATTGAAAGGCATTATGCTATATCAGCTTATTGGCTCAACTAAATATATGTTTATAAGGATTCCATTAGTGTAAATTTGATTTTGCAGCTCTTTCATTCCCCCTCTTATAAATTTTTTTTAAAAGGATCCTGAGGGTGGGGGGTAATAAAAGGTAAAAGGGGCCAAATATGTAGTGACAAAATGATTTGACTCTGAGTGGTGGACACAAATGCAATACACAGATGATGTGTCAGAGAAATGTACACTTGAAACCTATATGATCTTATAAACCAATGTCACTCCAATAAATTTAATTTTTTAAAAAAAAAGGATTTTTGATCATGAACCAGGAATCTATATAGTTATCTAAGAAAAAATTAACAAAAGCTGACCCAAATATATTAAAACAGTTAAGAGCACAGGAAATGGAAACTGTACTTATTGCTGTGTTACCTTGGACAAATTATTTAAACTCTGGACTTAATTTTCTTTTCTGTAAGATGGATAGAACACTTATTTTGAGGAGCAAGGAGTTAATAACTGTAAAGGACTTAAAATTGTGCTTTCATGTAGTTAATACAGCTCATATTTACTGCTATTTTTTCATTTAAATTTATTGTCTTGGGAAAACATTGCCCTAATTTGCATTTGTGTTTAAGATGACATTGGTGTCAAGTAGTACTGATTTTATTATGGTTAAACGTTTTTGTTAAATTGAGACAAGAACAAAGGTACTTAATAGTATAGCTAAATAATATAGTGGTTTCATAGTACTGTAAGAATAGAAAAGATAAGAGAGAATTGAATTATCACAGAACTCATTATAGACTGTAAAATCTCTGCCTTAGTAGTTAGTGATACCTTTGCTATCACAGATTTTTTTTTTAAATAATATCAGTTATAAATGAGATGTTCATTTAAATTACATTGGTTCATATTGATTTGTGACTTGTTTGCTTTATAGTATAGAAAGATTTAGGGAAAGTTTGGTAATATATATCAGGAGTTGGTAAATTACACCTTTGAGCTTGCCCACTACCTGTTTTTGTAAATAATTGTTTTTTATAACATACTCAATCCTATTTGCTTATATATTGCCTATGTACTTTCTTACTACAGTGGCATAGTTGAGTACTTTCACAGAGACCATACAGCCCACAAAGTCTAAAATATTTACTATCTGGCTCTTTATAGAAAAGACTAGAGGCCTGGTGCATGGATTTGTGCACTGGTCGGGGGCATGGCCTGTGGGGATCGGCCAGCTGTGGGAATGCCACTCATCTCAGTCAGCCAAGCAGCATTCCCACTGTGGGAGTGCACTGACCACCAGGGGGCAGCTCCTGCCTTGAGCATCTGCCCCCTGGTGGTCAATATGCATCACAGTGACTGGTCAACTAGTCATTCTGTCATTTGGTTGCTGGACTTTTATATAGAGAGATTTGCTGACCCATGTTATATACTAAAAAAAAAGTTAAGTCAGCACAAATGACCCATGGTGATTTTTTTCTTTTAGAAGTAATTTATTTGTACAGTATCCAAGTGTGAAAAATACAACACTATATTTTGTTCAAGTGTCCCATCTAACACAGTTGCAAGTACTTTTATACATAGCTGTAGATTCTTACATTTAGGTGGTAATTGTTAGAAGTAATAAGTATTCAGTGATAGTGTATCCATGAGCATTGCCTCTTAATATTTTTAACCCATATTTTAACTTCAATTTGTTGCATTACTACTTCTTTCTTTATATTCCAAACTTTCTTTTTTGTTTATAGTTTTCTGTTATATTGTAACACCAGGATAAAGTTTGTCATCTTCATTTTGCCATTTAAAAATACATATGGCCGAAACCGATTTGGCTCAGTGGATAGAGCGTCTGCCTGGGGATTGAAGGGTCCCGGGTTCGATTCCGGTCAAGGGCATGTACTTTGGTTGCAGGCACATCCCCAGTGTGGGGTGTGCAGGAGGCAGCTGGTCGATGTTTCTCTCTCATCAACGTTTCTAGCTTTCTATCCCTCTTTCTTCCTCTCTGTAAAAATCAATTATATATTATATATATATATATATATATATATATATATATGAAGATTATTTTAAAAAATAAAAATACATATGATCTTTTCCCTTTTCCTTTGGAAATATGTTTTAAAATCCTCTATTAAAGTGATGAATAAGTTTGACTGAGGACTGTAAGTTATCGGTGTAATGCAATTTAGCTAGAGAAAGTAATGTGTATTTTTTGTTCTCTGTCTAGCCCACAACTGGAGTTTTGTATAAAGAAGATAATTATGTCATCATGACAACTCCACATAAAGAAAAATATAAATGCATTCTTCCTCTTGTGACAGGTGGGGATGAGGTATGTTTTTATAAGTATATTGATAATCTCTGTCACCAAAGATACTTATTTAAAACATTGCAACTTCATACTTTAAAATTGAGTGACAGGTTTTTAATAATCCTGTTTTGTTATAGTAGTCACTTCTATTATCCTGAAGTCTTTGATTTTACAGTTCATCTTGGAAAAATTAACCACCAATTATTAATGTTTTGAATGAAAATCTAACTCCATTCTTGCTTTCCTTTATAGATATGAGGGTTTTGTAACAAGATATACTTTTTAAATGTTTATGTGACATTTTTAATAGAGAATTGCTAATAAATCTCTAGGCACCTTATGCTTCCTAACTGCCTTAGCTCATGCCCATTTCTTCCTCCTAAACTGCCCTAACTAACTGCCTCTTATCCATCCTTTAAGGCAATGACTTCTTTCAAGATGAAACAGGAGAGGCAGCATGGTAAAATGGAAAGAACATCAGCCTAGGAGCCAGGAGGCTGAGGTATAGGCTATAGTTAGCTATGAAACCTTGAAAAAAATTTGAAAC